AATTTAACTAAAGGAACACCTAGTTCTCACCAAGCCATTATCTGTTTTATAATATCTCTTTTTTCTCAGGACTTTCTCTATGAGTCATTGATTCTATCTTCTTAGTGGTTACCACTAAGTAGATGATTCACAAATCATCTTTTAAAAAATCTATTTCAACTTCCTCTTGTCATTTCCCACCTACACAAACTGAATTCCTTTCCAAGTAATCACAGTCCTGTCAGTAGAGAGCAATTTTTCCACTATTTTAGTATCTGGTATACTCTAGTCACTAGCTTAACAGTGCATTCAGGATTAAAATTAATATCTCAACAGATATTTTGTGCCTGAGTTCTTACAGCTCTTTTTTTTTCCTTCTGGTTCAAAGGAAGTAGGCATTTCTGGTTGGAGTGTGTGTGTGTGTTTGTGTGTGTGTGTGTGTAAAAGGCAGGGGCACTTGCAACTGCAAACAAATCTCACATGCTAACCACACTGGAAAGAATAGAAAAATTCCATTTTTATTATACCTGTTCATAAGCCTCCTTTTTTATGTAATTGTACTTTACATTATAAAGTCACATTCTCCTTTGCCACAGATATATGATCCTATGACGTCCAAACTCAAAATTATGAATCACCAGCTTCTTAGAAAAATTAACAGGTAACTTCTATTTGGACTATACAGAGGTTGATCCGAGACTAGTAATTGAAGCTATGATATTATGTAGCTATTGAATTATGTATTTCTAGAGACTATTTTTAATGTTGAGTATTTTTTTAATGTTGGAGAATATTTAATATTATGGGAAAAGCATAGAATAATATCTATAAGAAAATCTGAATGAAAATATACCAAAATTGTAATATACCAAAATATACCAAAATTGCAAGGATGTGGAAGCAGTAGGGGACTACAGTTTTCTTTTCTGATTCTCAAAACTTTTTTTGTTAAATGTTTATTTTTGAGAGAGAAAGAGAGAGACAGAGCACAAGCAGGGGTGGGGGGCAGAGAGAGAGGAAGACACAGAATCTGAAGCAGGTTCCAGGCTCTGAGCTGTCAGCACAGAGCCCGATGCGGTGCTCAAACTCACGAGCCATGAGATCATGACCTGAGCTGAAGTCCTATGCTTAACCAACTGCGCCACCCAGGTGCCCCAATTCTCAAAACATCTATTCATTTTCAGTTAAAAGAAATTATTACTCTTATTATCAGAAAAAAAATTTAAGGGGCGCCTGGGTGGCACAGTCGGTTAAGCGTCCGACTTCAGCCAGGTCACGATCTCGCGGTCCGTGAGTTCGAGACCCGCGTCGGGCTCTGGGCTGATGGCTCAGAGCCTGGAGCCTGTTTCCGATTCTGTGTCTCCCTCTCTCTCTGCCCCTCCCCCGTTCATGCTCTGTCTCTCTCTGTCCCAAAAATAAATAAACGTTGAAAAAAATTTTTATTTTAAAAAAAAGAAAAAAAATTTAAAAACAAATGAAAATACATGGTTAATATGTTTTATTTAGTTTATTTATTTATTTTATTTATTAGGGATTTTATAAAAGAAATTGCATTAATCACACATTCTTTGTTCATTAACCTCTATTGGGAGTTCAAGAATTGTCTTTGGACTTATTTACTTGCACCATTTTATTCTGGCATATTATAAGTCTTCTGGAGTATATGCTTTTATGTATGGCTGCTTCATGTGTATTTGTATTCATTTATATGCTTAGTGCTATGCTACAAAAATAAGTCAGTTTTTACATGCTTCATTCAGAAATATGCTTTAAATATTTAGCATGTTGCTTTGTGTAAACCCTACCCTATCAGCTGCACATGGATTCCTATATCCCTACATTCTGCCAACACTTTTTCACAGTTAACTCACTCTGTTTTGGACCTTATCAACTGCATTATTCTAATTTTTTCTAATATTGGATATTATTTCCAGTTTTCAATATTACTAAACATTTTCTACACATATTTAGTAATTTGAAATACAATTAAAGGACATGCATTCTAGTATATTTGTAAATATTATCATATTCAGCATATACTTGATTTTGCTATCAATCTTCCTTATCATAACAATTGAGATAACTGTGAACTGTCGGACAGAAGAAAAACCCAATTAACCAACAGTCATATATATGATCCTCCTTTCATTAATCTCTGACAAAGCAATCTTTCTGGATCATTTTCAGAATAACTTTGAGACATTTAATAATATGGTGCACTGCCCTCCCCTAACCATGTACTCCTCATCCCATTCATTTGGAAGAAACCCCACTGACCTAGTACTAGGCATCAGGAAGTGGAAACACATTTGTTTCTTTCCTAAAGTTTTTTTTTCACATAAAATGATCATCCATTACAGAAACTGTCACAGTCTCTAGCCACGTATATACTCACTTTTTCTCCAAATATCTGACCTATCTGATTACAGGACTTCAGAGAATTTGATAAACCTATAACATCTAGTTTCTCCATATCTGGGATCTGCCTGGCAGCAGAAGTCCTGCCCTTTGTCCTTCATCTCAATTGATCATTAAATTTGGTTAAATATGCTCTAATCATAGCATTAGTTTTTCAGTAGTAAAATATAGCTTCATTCTCAAATGAGTGCCCTACTTTTCTTAATAAATAATAAAGAAGGGGACCTATAAGAATATCCTACCTACTTGTATTTTAGTAGATAAACAACTCAATGAAATGATTGGAAATACAAACACTGAGGAAGTTCCTACAAAATCTGTGCTTGGGATTTTCGAGTTTAGAAATAATACTTGTTCAGAGGATCAATGAGAAACTGGATGATTGGAAAAATCACAGTTTAATTCTCTCATTAGGTAAACAAAAAAAAAAGCAAAATAATTAAAGCATAAGAAACACCAATTGTTCTGAAAAAAGAGAGAAATTTCCTCCAGGGAAAAAAACAATCTCAGAAAGATATTAAACAGATATAAATTGGAAAATGATCTGCTAGGCCAGGATAGAGAGATGCAAAAGGAGAAATGAGGTATAGCTGAATGTAACTGCTCTTGAAGAGAGGATCAGGAGAGAGAAATGTTGTTCTAAGTTGTGATCAACCAGGCAGTAAGGTTTTGGCCCCTAAATGTTAGAAATCACAGCAACACTAGAATGACTTACCAGACAAGGTTCAGGGTCCAGGGAAACACTGAAATTTGCCACCGTTACATGCAGTTAAAGTGGCTGAGATAAGAGTAACTAAAAACCTGCACCTAAGGATTGCTATAGGGATATAATATGTTTGCAGAAAACTTGAGGAGATTTTAGAGACGACCAGAAAGATTACTATAATATGCTACAAGAATGACTGAGTTGGTTCTAAAGTGATTCCTTTACTAGTGAGTGAAGTACAGGATTACCTGTGCCCTGGACACATAACTGAAAAGTGTATTGAATTAGAATCTCAGTCAAAGGTAGAGAAAACTTTAAGCAGGGCCATTACTATCCCATAAGGCAAAATTGTGCAACTAAAATATGTTGCTCTGTGTTTCAGCTAGACAGTACCATATAAGGGCACACGGCTTTCTGATGGGGATGCCGACTGAATACCTCCTTTTGCAGCTCACCATGTAAAAAAATAAACATAACAGTTCTGAAATTAGCCATACCAAAAGGAAGTCAGGAAGAACTATAGTAAATAGAATTCAAGCTTGAAGTAGATGTTAGTTTGATGGGGAAATAGCTTACAGATAGGATTAACCAATTTAGGGTGAGTCAGAGAAACAAGACTCTGAGCAGTGGATATATTTCACAGGCCTATATTTCTCACTAAAAGAGACTTTAACAATCTAGAAAAGTATGTTAAAACAAAACAACATACAGTGAAGAAAATGTAAATCAAAAGTAGGCACACAATTCCAGTAAACAATATCCTTGCATGCGTTAAGAAAAGGAAAAGAATCAACCTAAGGAGCCGGTTAAGATGTTAAGAACAATCATTTGATCCTTCCTAAAGGAGTAGGGAAGTGGTTTTTAACACTGCACATACTCATGTACCTAGGGTACTTTAAATAATAATTAAGGCTCCTATGCTAGCTCAGATCTATTGTTTTAAAAACGGGAAGTGAGGCTTTTTTTTTAAAGAGCTAGCCTACTGTTTTCCAAGGACAGAGTCCAGAGGCACCGGACTAGAGGCATATTCTACTACTGAATAATGGTATAGATTGGAATTCTAAACAAGGTCCACCTCATCCAAAGCTGGGAAAAGACAGTGTCTTGAGACATACATGATAAAGCTATTGTTCACTGCTGGGCCCTAGTGGAACACCTTTGGACGGATTAAGAGTTCTCTCAATTTAGGGATCTTCTGGGAGAAATTCCACAGCAGAAACAGTTATGAGTACTGGGGGCAAAGTTTTCTGGGAGGCAAGTTTCCCAGGCATAAGCAATTCCACAGCAAGAGACAATAACATTAGCCAAGTGGCAGAGGACAGAAAATGCCTCATGATGAGATAATAGAAAAGCTATGTCACCAGGCAGAACTCACACTAGGGAGTTGCACTAGGGCAACAGAAACATGGAGATTTAGGGGGAAATAAAAATTAGTCATCTTAAACTATTCTGTATTGAAACCTATATAGGGTCTGGGGCAGATGACATTGCAAATGTCTTTTATTAGAGGGTAAAAATGATTCAAATGCCATTCTCTGAAAGAATCTAGTAGAAGTTATGTTGTACATTTTAAAACTAACCACACTACTGAAACAGGGCAGCAATACAAAACAAAAACAAGAACATCAAAAGCTGTTTTTCCTATTGATGATGCTATCACTTCTCCAGTCTTTGTGCATTGCTTATGAAATAAACCAGAAAAATGGCTTCCTGCTCGTTCAGATGGCCTTTCTCACTCTTTTTCTGCTTCTCACCCTTTTGTGAATGCTTGTTCCAGAAACTTAAAATACTGAAGGCCAGAATTCTGCCCTTCCTTCTCCTGTAAACCAGTCTTCTTCCCAATCTGTCAATGAACCACATCATGAACTGGTAAATCAGCAGATTTAAATTAACTTACATTTGTCTTCCTTCTCCAGGCTTTAAATTTCTTCTCTCATTTAAAAATGTAATAAAATCCTTCCCATGATATGAAATGTAGGATCTAAAAATTTAATCACGTAAAATGCTGGATCACATTTTTGCGAGGTTAATGAAATGACTGGGGTAAGCCTGTCTAACTCACTGGTCAGAGAATCTGAGACTGTGAAATCCAAAACCATGTAAGTCCTGCCTGCATTTTGGTGCCACCTGGTGGCAGTTGTCCACTCCAGCTTAAAATATGAATGGTGATAACTCTATCCTGTGACAGGCTGGCACTTCTGAGACAGAAGCAGTGATTCCAAGTAATGGACCTGATTGGTTGACCAAACCTGCAGGGATTGGGCCAGGAGAATAATGAACATATAAGGATCCAACTTCTTAAGATGTAGGTGTTTGCCATTTCCCTGGTTGGCCTCGTCTTTCCTCTAGACAGAAAAGACTAGACTGCTCCCATTCAAGAATAGAGTTTGATCAAAAGATGGGAGCTAATCATTAATTCCACTATTTACAAACTTGGATTAATTCAGAGTGAACCATTAGAGAGTTCTTCTGTATTATGTTTCTGGTTCATGCCTTTTTCCAATTTTGCCTTTTAGCTTCTTTGTCAAGACACTGGTCATACCTCTCCTGAGCAATCATAGCAAACTCTCAGCATGTTTTCCTGAGTCTTCAAGATTTAACTCAAATATAACTTTTTTCTAAATGTTTCCCAGTGTCCTTCCTCTGGATTTCTTTCATGCACTTCCTTTTCTGCCTCCTTAGCATCCTGTATAAACATTTATGTAGGACATATAAGCCTCTCATAACTCATTGCGTAGTCATTTGCCCTCTTGATCTTGAGTTACTTTAGAATAATCTTGTAATCATTTGATTCCCAGCATTTACCACAGTGCCTAGAAAATTATGGACAATTATCTCAGTGTTACCTTAGATATTCCTCCATTTTACACATTCATAACATTACAGATCATTTCTTCATTGGCCCTCCAGTACTTGAAATATTTTACTCACGGCAGCAGAATCACAGCTTATTTGAGCATACACTGCAAGAATCTTTGTCAAAAACTTTAACATTTACACTGTTGATTTAATATAGAAGCTAAATATTAACTCCAGGATATTAATTTTAACATTACCACTGTCCATATAAAGTAATCATACCCTTTAACTTTCCCTCTTCCTCTTTCTTCATCAGTGTCAGACAGTTATTACTCAACAAGTATTTTTTGTGCATCTACTATGAGCAAGACATAGTCCTGGGCAATGTGAACGTCAAAAAAAATATGGTAGGAGCTCTTCTCATCCCCTTGGAACTAAAATGAAGTTAGATAAATGAAGTTTAAAATGTTGAGAATTATAATAACAAAAAACCATCATCTTTTAATAAGCAGAGTATGCACCAGGCATTATATTGTTTTATAACAACCTGACAAGGCATATAAACATTTCCTACTCCATCGTTTATCAAATAAGGGAGGCAGGAAGACACCCCAAATCTGTCCAAATGTATAGAGTAAATTAATGTAAAGCTAGTATTTGAATCGGAATTTTTAGATGGATGGCCACGCTCTTAACCTTGACATTACTCATTTACATGTTAAAAAAAAAGAAAAAACAAGCAGGGTAGAAAGTATTGATGTGGAAGATGAAAAAGAAAAATTTACCTTCAGGTAAACTATAGGAAAAGTTTCACAAAGGAAGTAGGATTCGAAATAGATACTGTAATCTATGGAGAGAGTAGTCGCAGAGTGAATTAAGAAAATGTGTCTGGGAAAGAGGTGACTATTAAGCTTTATATTGCAAAATTCTAAAGACAATTTTTCTTTTGTTTTAATAAAGCTCCATTGTTTTCCTTCTCAATATGGTATTCAAATTAATTTATTGTCCCAGCAAAGATTTTCAGTGCATAAGGGATTCATCTTTTTTTTTAATGTTAATTTATTTCTGAGAGACAGAGAGAGAGAGAGAGAGAGAAAGAGAGAATGCAAATCAGTCTCTGGGCTCTGAGCTGTCAGCACAGAGCCCAACATGGGTCTTGAACTCACAAACCATGAAATCATGATCTGAGCCAAAGTCGGATACTTAACTGACTGAGCCACCCAGGCACCCCAAGGGATTCATCTTTTAACTAACATTTTGCCAGGAGCCTTTACGAAGGTAGGAAATAATTATTCTACATGAGGTCTAGTCTGTGATTATGAGGTAGACAATGTAACTATAGAGATCAAAAGTAATCATTTATACTAGTTACACTTTTACTACTCACTGAAAATTTGTATACAGAAACAACTGTGTTTCTGCATATTGTTTTTACTTTTAAGATCAGATAGTGTAAGAAGTAGTATGTGTCCTATTTTCAGTTAGAAAAATAGTGGAACTTTTTTATGGTCCTTAACATAACAGCTAGAAAAGTTTTCGGCTGCCTTTTCATTGTGCTAATAGGTCACACAGAGCAAAAGAATGAGCAGGATAACAGAAGCCTATATTAATTATAAGCCAACTGGAGAAGAAGTAGGAGTATTAGAGTCATCACATTTTGATACATATATGTGAGATCATTTGTTGCTCATAAAATATGCTTTACTGGGAAGGGGTATTAAGAGGAATAAACATGTGCCTTTTAAAAAAACTTTCACAAAGATATCTCAAGGTTTCTTTTTTTTTGAGATTTGCTGGATTAGAGAAATATTTTTCAAATGCAATGTCTAGTTAGTAGCAGTGACTGAAAAACAATTCAGGCAGAAACCACAGTTTTACTTTTTACATTCCAGTGTAATCGGTTTTGTCAACGCCATTTACCATTTGCCAGGCTGTGTTTTTAGTCTCTGTAAGAACAAGGTGTCCATGACTTTTACCAAAATGAGAAAAACCTCTTTCTACTTCCTTTGTAGTTTATCTACCCAAAACCTTCTAGCGGTCTACACAACTATATGGCTGAATCAAAGGTATTCTTTTTTTTTTTTTTTTTTTTTTTGGTCCATGAATCATTTTTCAAATGAAGTTATAGATATGAAAGTACTCTGAAACTGGGGCGCCTGGGTGGCGCAGTCGGTTAAGCGCCCGACTTCAGCCAGGTCACGATCTCGCGGTCCGTGAGTTCAAGCCCCGCGTCGGGCTCTGGGCTGATGGCTCAGAGGCTGGAGCCTGTTTCCGATTCTGTGTCTCCCTCTCTCTCTGCCCCTCCCCTGTTCATGCTCTGTCTCTCTCTGTCCCAAAAATAAATAAACGTTGAAAAAAAATTAAAAAAAAAAAAAAGAAAGTACTCTGAAACTGAATGGTGATTGAGAAATGTATGATACTGTTTTTACTATTATTTATATTATCTTCCTACTATACAAAGTTTCCTCCAAGATATCCAGTAATCATTGTTTCTCAAAAAATGTAACAAGAATTCTCCTGTTGAAATCTCTGTTCTGTTGGTTTTGCTTAGAAACATCTCTGTCTAAAATGAACATATTCTGCCATTTCATTTTGACCTCAAACATATCCCCCCCCCCAACACACACACAGCCAAATTGTGTGTGCAGGTCAAAGTTTCACCATGCCAACACAAGTTTTTTAAGTTATCATTTTCCTTGTCTTTCTACTTCTGTAAATACATTTAATAAAATATATTCACTGGAACATTAATTTCTCAGAATATTAATAGATATTATACTTTAAAGGGTTCTCTGGTTTTAAAAATGTATTAAATTCAAGTAGTCATTTAAGTGTGGTAATTTTAATTTTAATGGCTATAATTTCTTTAAGTATTTTCTAGAGAAAATTTAGCATGAGAATAGCTTTAGAAGTACTTTCTCAATCTTTCCATTTTACAGATGACAAATCAGAAATTTATCTAGAGCCTTCACATAAATGTTGAAAGTCACAGTTTGTATCAGAACCAAGACCTGAATCAAGACTTTTCTACTCATTCTGAAACTTTTTATATTAAAAGAATAATTTATATGTTTCACTCCAGACAATCTTAACATCATTAGTATGTTAGTATGTCAATGTATAACATACTGTATTATTCCAGGTTCTACAGAGAACAAGAATCTATAGAAGAGGGGCGTGTGTGTGTGTGTGTGTGTGTGTGTGTGTGAGAGAGAGAGAGAGAGAGAGAGAGAGAGAGAGAGAGAGAGAATGAGAGAGATACAGAGAAGTAAAGAGCATGAGAATAAAGAATTCGTTCACATACTATAGATGCTGTGAAGACCCAAGATCCACAGTCAAAAGCTGGAGACCAAGAAGAACTGAGGGTGCAATTCCAATCAACTTCTGATTCCAAAACTCTGAAAACCAGGTATATCAATGGTGTAAGTTCTAGTCCAAAAGCCAACAGGTTTAAGACCTAAAAAGAGTCAGTTTCTCTGAGTCCAAAGGCAGCAGAAAAATCCATGTCCCCGCTCAGAAAGACTGCAGGAGTTCCCTTTTAGCTTTTTTGTTCCATTCAGGTTAGTTGGATGATAAGTGCCCAGTTAATTGGATGAGGCTCACTCACACTGAGGTGGGCTATCTGCTTTATTCAGGATACTTATTCCAACACTAATCATATCCAGACACATACTCACAGGTGCACACCAAATAGTGTTTGATCAAATGTCGGTGCATCCTATGGTTCAGTCAAGTTGACAAAGAAAACTAACCATCACACATTCTCAGGACTAAAACGGGGTGGACATATGAGTATTTTCTAAACATTTTTATGACAAAATCCATCTTTGTGAGGACCAATTCCCAAGACCAACATTCTAGTCAACATATTTGAAATTTGTTGCTCAAGACTTTAGAGTCCATTACTACACATCTCACTCCCTTCATAACCTTTGAAATATTTGTTCTTCATTCCTTTTTGAATCAATATTTCCTCAGAAAGCAATAAAATTAGTAGAACCTATTATAATGGAGGGGCTTTCTCTTTTAAGTAACTATGGTAGATTATTGCAATAATGGCCTCAAATTTGTTCATATTTCTCTGTACCAATGCCCTCAGGAGGTCCCCTCACACAGACACTAGATTTGGGCATGTTACTTTCTTTTACCAAATAAGCAAAAGCCAGGAGACACAAGAAAAGACTTAAAAAGTGATTGAACATTGGGATTTTCCTTGTTTTTCTGATTTTGGAACCTTTCTGGGTGATACAGAGTATGCC